TAGAAAATAACAAAGATATCAAATCTGAGTACACAAGAGAGGCCAAGGTTGACCCATCCTTGAGTGGGTACCAGGTGCAGTCCTGGGAAGTAAAGGCGGCTGGTATGATGCTGACCACATCACCCATCTTGTGAAGATTGGTCTATAAAAAATATAGGTCTAGACCTATATGCCCTATACGCCCAAAGGTGTGGAAAAGGGTCTTTTACTTTTACTTTTTACACAAGAGAGAGAGAGAGTAGAAAGAGGCAGACCAAAAAGGACACTGGATTTACTTATTTCAGAAAGGATATCCATAGATAAACCTCTCTCCAGCAGCAGCAAATTCCTAAGGTGTGGAAGCTAATTGTTCTTGTAGTTACACACATCGTTCTCTTCCTTACATATGTTTCTACTTGCCAGATCCACACCTAATGTCATGTTTACACATTTGTACACATGTCATTTCCTCTAACTTCCCTTGTGGTTTCCAGGGCCCCATTGTGGGGGATAACAGGAATAGACCCACTGCCTCCCTAACAAGCATGTTGTAGGAGTCCATTAATTGGGGAGCTTCCTTCTAAGTTGGAGTGCATCTGCCTAAGATGCAAGGAACCAGCAGTCTGCATACAAATAAGTCAGATTTGGGCTATCTCCCGAATAATTTACATGTGACTGAGGCCCTGTTAGGGTATATTTTCGGCTTCGATACTTTGGGACCGTTATTCGGAAGATAGCCAGATTTGTAAAATGGAAGTGCCTGCAACACTCAGGTTCTGGAACAAGACTAAAGTGCAGAAAAGAGCCCAGCTCGCTAGCTCAGTTGGCTAAACCTGACTTCACGGCGACAGGGTGACGAACTCCTTGTAGTCCGGGTTTACACCCAGGGGTAGGCAGAAAAGCCACATTTCTCCCAAATTTATTTTATTTATCATGGAATCAAGGCCAAAATGTTGCGTTATCCATAATACCAAGCCAATGGGTTAAGAACTTATGGTTTCTAGATTTTTTTTTAAAAGTGCAGAGAATGGATGAACAACGAGAACTTTCTGCCAGTTTACAGCCAGTCAACACAAACCTGAAGAAGATTTCCTCTAACCTTGTATCTTTCATCAGCATTCGCTCGCAGATGGTCTTCAGAATGTTTCTAATAGTGGAGGGATAATATACAGACAGACTTACACATCCTTGGAGTCAAAAAGTGGAAAGAAAAGGCCAGTTATAGAGATTAATGGAGGTTGGTGATATCTAAAGCAGAAATTAATTCTAAGGGCACAGAATGCTGAAGAAGAAGAAGAAAATGAATATTCTGTTTAATCCTTCTAGATGAAAATTAGGATATATTGATATTTTTCAAATATGGATATTAATATATTTTTAAAAACTAATATTTAAGGTTTTTTTATATCATTATGTATTAACAGCAAATTTAGTGTTCACGCTTTTATCCATCTGTGGGTATACTTATAAATTTTTAAGAAATGAATTAAATTATTAGTATTTTCCTTTGCAATTCTGGTCTTTTATATGGGAACTTTTATAGTTGCAATAGGCCGTTTAATCTGTTCCCATAGTTCTATAGGACTTTCTTTTTTCTCTGCAAATTACCCCCAAATGAAGTATAGGCCCTCAGCCAACTCTTGCCAAGTCATGCTATCTATTGCTATTGTATGCAGCTCATGCCATGTCTTTCCCATTTTTTAATTGCACTATCTAGTCCTTTCTTTGTGTGTTTTTTATACTGTTGTTCTACCTTCATTTCTATCCCCTGTGGGTTCCAATGTGAAGCCCTTCTGGTTATATTGTGCTCAGGTTTTCGGTCTGCCCTATCCAGCTCCAGTCTTTTCCTCACCGCATGATTCACTGAAATTTAGTTTTCTCCCAAAGCTCCATATTAGTGATTATATCATACTGTGTGATTCCTTATAATCTGCTCAAGGCCAGTCAATAGTAGTTTATTGGTAACTGTTTTAGTTGTTCTTTATGTTTCCACTCCATACGGCAGTAATAATTTGACTTCCACAATTTCTTAGTGTTATGAAAGCTGTTCTTGCCTTTTGTATTTTTACCCCCCCCCCCCCCCCCCCCCCCCCCCCCCCCCCCCCCGAGTTTTTTGCCAATAAAATGTGTAGTAGTGTGGAGGGTGTGGTTGGGATGTAAAGCTTCTTTAGCCCCCCCCCCCCCCCCTTTTTTTTTCCATAAGTCTTGGGGGAAGAGTGGATTGGACTGGCTAAGCCCACCCAATGGTTTATTCGCGGTGGCGCGCCTGTGTCTGAAGTAAGCAGACAACGTATGGTGAGTTGCTTGGTTCTGAAAGGGTCATGGAGTTAATACATGGTAATTCGGTTCAATTCCTATTCTGGCCAAATCTGTGATGTGGGCGGACACCTCAATGCTACACAACAAGGAACAAAGATGGCGGTATTGTCACAAAATAACAACAAAGATGTATTTTTTTTTTAAGGGAATCGCTGCCAATCGACAATGACATAGCAATTGTTTAAACATATCTCTTCAGGGTGTAGTTAAATTACGGGGTATTTATTCTGTGGTGCCGTGTTTAGAGATGTGTATACGACGTTTTAAGTAAAAATTGACAATATCTGTGTAGGCCGCACTCTTTTCAGAGAGCGATGTTTCTCAGTTCTGCTTTCTTGTGGCGCGCATACTAAACGAGTTCTAATTGAAAGTTTAGAATAAAAATAATAATAATAACTAAATATGTTATTGCTACAGATGGGTGGGGAATATAAGGTATTATGCAGTACAGTACAAGTCATTTGGGGCGCGATCATTGAGTCGGTGTGTTCATCGTCCGCTAGCTGTTGGCGCGCCGTGACCCGAGACAACAAAAACAAACAGCAACGATCTAAGGCTAAAAAACGAGAGAGGATCGACTTCATTGCACCCGGTTTTTGATTTTCCATACCTAGTCGCCTGATGAAGAGTATCGCGCGAAGCACGAACATGGTAGCTCCGGTGACGATCCGTAGTGGGTCTGCAAAAGCTGTCGAACACAATGAGTTTATTATGTATGCATAGTATGCGATAATGTATGCATTGTTAAATAAACAAAAGCAAGTGACAAGCATTAATAATAATATCCATAATTAAAATTTAAAAAAAAAAACATCCTTACAATAATAATTGGGATGTAGTGTTCATAGAATTTCCAGAGTATATTTTTGCTGTTTTATGTTTTGTATAATAATTTATTTCAAACATTTATGCAGTTTATATAATTTAAAATAAAATAAAGAACCGTTTTCCACGCCTTCAGGTGTATGGGGCATATAGGGCTAGAACTAAATTTTATAAACCAAACAGCACTTTGTGGGTGATGTGGTCAGCATCATGCCTGCCGCCTTTACTTCCCAGGACTTACCTGGTACCCACTCAAGGCTCAGTCGACCGGGGAGCCAAGAGCATTTATGAAAAAAGTCCAGTCATCACCAGGACCCGAACCCACAACCTTTCGGATCCGCAGGTGAGCGTCTAGCCACTAGACCACAGCGGCTCACTAATTTATATCATTTAGTATTGTTCATTGTGTTATTTGAGGTATAACCCTACTCACAAATTGTAGGTTGTGATTACGACAGATATTGTACAAGGAGTATTTAGATAAATTTAATATTAGGTCTGAAAATAGTTAAATTATTATGTGTAATGATTTTAATGTTCTGTAAAATGAGATGAATAATAGGTGTCTTTCACATTATAGAACTTAATCAAAAGTATTTTGTTCAATCAGCCCTTCTGTGTAGTAGTAGTAATTTCATCAGTGATATCCAGTATCCTGTTCAGCCCTTTTTGGTTTTAATTATAATGTTTAGTTTTTGTCTTTTGAGATGCTGGACATTTATCCTTATTCAGAAATGTGGTAGAGGATAAGATAAGCTTATTGTAACTGTTTTTATCCATTTGCTTCTAAGGTAGCCAGTTAGATGTGAAGATAAGTATGTTGCTGATATTATCTGTTTTAGTATTTCTGAGATATTCTGACAGATGTAAATAATGTGACTGTAATGTGAATGTATTTATCAATTTACTTCTAAGATAGTATGTTATGTGATAAGATATGGGTAAGAGTGCTTAAAGGACAGTCTAGTACAGTGGTTATAAAACTGGGTGTTGCGGCACCCAGGAGTGCCGTGAGCGTATGCCAGGGGTAAAAAAAAAAAAAAGTAAAGTTCCCTTTTCACGCCTTTCGGCGCATCGGGCATATGGGCAGAGCGTCCCATATTTTTACAGACCATCAGCACTCTGTGGGTAATGTGGTCAGCATTACGCCGGCTGTCTTTACTTTCCCAGGACAGCCCATCCTGGTACCCATTTTAGGCTGGGTCGATGACACCAATAATCAAGAATTTGTAAAAATTCGCTCGAGATCAGCGAAGACAGCAGTTTAGAACAGAAATACAACGAAGGAAGCCAAGAAGAGTTCTGGATGCAGGAGTATTTAGTAAACAATGCTATTGGCATAGCTGCAGTGCATTTTCAATGTACGCTAACATTAAAAAACACGCAGGAGCAATCTTTAAGTGATTTGAGGGTGCATTTAGCTAAACTTCCCATAAACATAATGAAAAATTCATCCAAATATTTTAATTCATTGCATTAAAGACAACTGAACATTACATTTGCACTACTTTTTTCTTCTTTTTCTAAGTATTTAAACTGCTTCAAAGGTAGGTAGGCAAGGGTGCAGCGGCAAAAAAAATTTTGAGAAACGCTGGTCTAGTGTATGTGAGGATAAGGGTATTGGGATTGCATTTATCTCTTCTTCTGACAGTATTTTAGGAGTTAAGATAAAGGTACTGGTTTGATAAATTTGAAGGATTAAACTATTGTGGTTTTCATTATAGTGCCTCTGAGACGGTTTGACAGTTTGAAGAATAGAGTATTGTGATAGCGTCTCTGAAACAGGTTGATAAAAATGAAGATAAAAGTGCTGTGACACCTTTTTTTAAAGAAGCTTCTGGGATTATCATCTGGTAGATGTACAAATATAAACACTGATGTCTTCGGCTTCGGTAACGATTAGCATTCTGCCTGTAAGGTCCCATGGCCATGGATCTTGCATCACTACAAACCTGATTAGTAAGAAATCTATGAATATATTTTTGATAATTTAATTTAATGTCTGCACTCTGAACTTCTTAACTCTTTCAGTACCATGAATTTGACAGCAGATGCCCAGTGTGGCAATAATCACAATGAAGCATACATCAGTGCTTCTGAAACGTGACTCACACTGATGCATATTCAAATACCTAGCCAGATTTCCTCATTGTACTTACACCAAACTTGAAAGATATAAGAACATATAATGTGTCTCTTGATACACACAGATAAAAGCTGATCACCTTTGGTGCGATACTTAGGGCAGAAAGAGTTAAAGGTCCAGTTTTGTGGCATTGGTCATCTTGGCTGTCCTTAGCCTTCAGTCTTGTGCACTGCCTATCATTTCTGATGTTGTTTGTCCATCACGAGTGATGAAGACCACATAGTAGTAATGATCAATGATTATGAGTACGAAGGTGGCTGATTAGTCCAGTATGAGCCTGTTAAGTTCTTGAGCAGCGGGGACAACATATGAAAGCTGCAGTAAGTGTGGGATTAGCAGTACGATTCTTTCTAGTTTGCCTTCTTTTCTCTGCCTGTGGAACTTCCGCGGCCTGGCAAGCCGATGCACCATGCCTGAGGGACACACGTCATCCAGAACAGTCTTGCGCAGCAGCCTCCCACGTCGCTGTGTTGATGCCAAAAGAATTGAGAGCAGTCTTGAGAGTGTCCTTATAGCGCTTTTTCTCTCCTCCTTGGGACCTCTTTCCTTGCTGGAGCTCGCCATAAAATACTTTCTTTGGGAGGCGATATTCTAGCGTTCGAGTTAAGTGACAAGCCCAACTTGTGACTCGTAACATACCACTAAAGTTTGACTCGTGGAACATGCAAACTCTCCTGTATAGATTTCTGATGTAGATGTTACTGCAATGCATGATGCCAGAATGTCTAAAATGTTCTATTTTGATCTTCCCAGCTATTTTTTCCCTCCTATGTTCTCATGGTCACGATATATTCTAGTTTTCTTCTTCTCATTAACTCTTTGAGTCCCAAGGAACGCATTATACATTCATAGGTTACTGCATAGAAGCCCAATGAACGCATAATGCGCCGATTTTACATCTCTTTTGACTACCTCTTGGGCCTGTGGTGCTAAACCCTCTGGGACTCAAAGAGTTAAGTGCCTAAAGAAGGTGACTGACTTCTTCAGATACAGGTAATCAACTCTTTTCTTTTGCCATGTGGTTTGTTGGACCTCATTTTGGGGGTAGGGGCTGGAGGAGAAGAATAGATCCACTGCCCACTATCAAGCATGCCATAAAAGATGGCTTATTGGGGGTGTTTTCCTTAAAGTCTAAGTGCATCTGCCTGAGAGACGAGGAACCAACAGTCTGCATACCAGTAAGCCAGATCTGTAAATCGGATGAGCATGTAAAGCTTCAGTTCATGAGAAAAACCAAAGTCCTGAAGTGTAGAAACCAGCATTTTCTGCTGGAGTATACAGCTGGTGAACGTGAAGACGAAGAATGTGTCTTTGTGAGTTAATTACTTTCAAGACATTTTTGTGCTTTTTAATAAAATGTATCCATGATCATTATTCTTCTGTACATCTCTGCTACCTGGCATTTGTTTATTTACCCTGATATCTTCACGATCAAAAGGTAAGTAAAGTGAAGTGTCCTTCTAGCGCCACTGGCACATCAGGCATTTGATCAGTCAGCACACTCTGATGGGGTTAACATGATGTTGGCCGCCTTTACTCTCAGGACTTTACCTGCTACCTTTTTGTAGTTAGTTTGAAAACGGTGTGACTTTTGTGACAGTTTGTAACCAAGTCAGTCACAGTGAGTACTTTTCACATAGTTGCAGTCTATTTGAAACTTCCTTCCCCAGTTTTACACTTGCTGTGCTGACAGGCATACATCACCTTATTGGACCTTTATTTGTTGATGAATTTATATAGGTTACACCCCTTCACTGATTAAAAAAAAAACAGTTTACAGAATACTGCTGCTCTTTGGTGCATGTCAAAGGTGTGGCAGCCATATTTCAAGTAATTTTGATGTCACTATGTTCATCTGCACTGTGGTGTCATGTTCTTAACACTGTTGACATCCTTGACGATAAAGTAATAGGTTACAAGACAATGGCATGGTTATTGTAATTTCTATCACACTTTTAAAATTTATTTTTTGAAGCCCCATTTTAACTTCACGTGTTTAGCAGTGCTATCTTCTGTTTTCTTCTTGTGATCCATAATTTACACTGACATACATTTTCTTGTGATAAAATTGACCATTGTTTGGAGTTTGGCTGTGGTTTCATATAACTTTGAGTTGTCTAAGGTAGCCAGTGTTCCCTTCTTAATGGGATACATAAATAACAGTCTTGCAGGATATCCTCTGTGGTTTGTGCACACAGCCAAAATGGACACAGCAGTGAACAGCTCAGAGGAAACCTGTGCATATGCTTATTAAGTTTGTTGTGCCCTGTGTTGAGGTGCAGCATGATGAGCTTCCAAATCTATAACAGCTCCTCTTGCTTTTCATTTTCATATTTGTTTATGAAGTATTAATATACCACAACTGTTTTTCAGGCATTATGAACATGCCCAGTCAAGGTGGTCGCCAGATGTTTCTTTATGACCATGGGCGTCCACAATGGTCACAGGGTGGCCCATTATATTACGATCGTCACCTTCCACCGCCACAACCACAAGTAGGCAATAACTTTCAGAATCCACAAATTCAAGGGCCATCACCACAGTGGTTGAGAGGACCTCTGATAGGACCAGGTCCCGGAGCAGGACATAATCAGCAGCAGTTGGATCGGTTTGGGGTGATACCATGGGGTAGTCAGAACAATTACCACCAGAATAGGTAAGTTTTGTATTGGTTTGTGCTCTTGTCAAGAGAGGGAGGAAACTGGAGCATGTCATGACAGTGAAACGGGTTGGAGGGCAAGAGAGGCAGAGGGAGACCAAGAGAGATAATGGTAGATAAAATGGCATGAAAGAACAAGTATGTCAGATGTGATTTGAAAGTAAATGAGACAGTACACTGCAGACGGACATTATAACCATTGCCACATGGAATGGTCTTGACCCAGTCTTAAATGGGCGGTAGGTAAAGTCCTGGGAAGTAAATGCGGCTGGCGGGATGTTAACCCATCAAGAGCCAATTAGTCTATAAGCAAATGAGTTTGGCCACATTTGCCTTATGCATGATTAGAGAGTGGAGGGACCTTAACTTACATGGCATGGACTATGAGAAACCTATCACCAGTGTATTACCTGGACCTTTAAAAAAAAAAAGTGCAGTGCTTACAAAGAGCCATGGAGATCATCACTGGACTACGGAGTTCTCGCTTTGATCAGCACTCTCTGTAGGTGGCTAGCCATACTGCAGACATAGACTGAGCCACATGGGATAAAACCTGGTGCAGTGAAGTCGATCCTTCTGATTTTAATTTTAGAAACAAAGAAGAAAAATGTCCGTATTGTTTTTCTTTGAATGCATGCCATGTGTTGTTGTGTTGGCCTTCTGTGTCCTGTACAGCCAAGTATGTCTAGTATAGAAGTTCATCCATGCCATGGTGCCAAACTGTCCAACATCAGTTCCCTGCCTCTCTTCCCCTGCAGATTGCCTGCTGTCACAGCATACTTCAGTTTTCTCCATTCTAGCGATGTTCCCAAAATATGTGGTTTTGCCTTCATTTTCTTTTTCTCACTTTAATCCTTTGTTTTACCTTTCACCATCAAGATACTTATGCAAAAGGATCAACATTCTGTTGCAGATTGTGGGAGCTGCGGTAGTGCAGATGCTAGATTTACCAATAGGAATCCGCACCACCACATTTTTTAATAATTGACCTTGGCTCCCAGACTGACCTAGCCTTAAAATAATGCCAAGAAATTTTCTGAGAAGTAAAGGTGGCTTGTGTGATATTGACCACAACACCCAATAAGTGCCAGTCTACAAAAGTATAGAATATGTCGGATGAAATTAAGCATTTCAGAAAAATATGTTGGTGCAGGACATATTGACTTTCAAAGTGCATGATTACCAGGTTTCCCCTAAAATAAGGCTGTTATATTAATGTATTTTCCAAAAGATTCTGTGGGGCTTTTTGTTTTGGGGGATGTCTTATTTTGTTTCATGTGCACCAGTGTACATTTATCCAAGTACAAAAGTACATATGTTTTCAAGCATTATGTCAATAATAGTAATAATTTCTAAATTCATTACTGTATAATTCAATATGTATGTCATGTGTTTCAATGGGCAAACAAAATCTGTCCGCCTGGCTGACAGATAGCCTGGCTATCTTAAGGCTTATGTTTAGGCTAGGGCTTATATTACTACCATCCTGAAAATTATGCTAGGATTTATTTTCAGGTTAAGCCTCGTTTTCAGGAGGAAAAAGGTAGGGCTGACACAAAGGAGGAATAAAAACAAATAAGTAACTTATAATAAGCACCACAAGAGGAAGCTTGTTTGCTGAGAGAATTGTTGGCATCTTTCCATCTTTGCAGAGGATGGTGTTTATACTGCGTTACAGAGAGGCAGGGGAATCACAGTTAATGCAGGCCATGGAAGAAGTTCCTCCTCTCCATAGCACAAAGTCTGGGCAGTATTGTTGAGACCATATGTTGTCCACGCCCGCCTTGTTTACACCAGTGTTTCTTCTCCCTGAACATTTTACACCAGTGGCCCACCAGAACAGTGAAAATTGTTTTGTGGCCCACCAAAACGGGAAAAATTGTTTTGTGGCCCATCAAAACAGTGAAAATTGTTTCGTGGCCAACCAAAACAGTTAATTTCCGTGGCCTACCAAAACAGTGAAAATTGTTTCGTGGCCCACCAAAACAGTAAAAATTATTCCGTGGCCCACCAAAACAGTGAAAATTATTCCATGGCCCACCAAAACTGGGAAAATTGTTTCGTAACCTTAACCAAAACAGTTACAATTGTTTCTTGACCCTCCAAGACAGTTAAAATTGTTTCACAGATCACCTGACAGCTAACCTAACATTAAACATAGATAGCAGTTGTTTTTTTTTTAACTTGATGTTAGAAAATTACAATTTTCAGCTAGTGCAACATCTGCTGATTGACATGTCTGAAATAAAGTAGCTAGATCTCTAAGTGGTAACCCTACAGCCTGGAAAAGAAAAACACCTTGACTACCTTCTTACACGATTATTAAGAATTTTGGGGCGGCCATCAGAGACTTTTCCACAGCCCACGAATTGAAAGGTAACACCCATACATCTGGAACAACGCATGTTGCAGAAGCTACCAGATGAGAAGAGCAGAAGCTGTATCTATTCTAGAGACTTGTACAGCTAGCAATTGATTTTTAATGACGAAATGAATTGAATTCCAAACAGGCATGGAAACAACCGCCATTATCACCGAAGAAATTATGTTCTTGGGGGTGTTGGAAGGAACAGCAGGTTACTGGCAATTAACTTCCGGAACAATCAGCAGCACCATAATGACCAAGAGGTTGGGGTTTTATAAATGTTTTCATTTTTTGTCCTATATGTCATTTGGGAGCCACTGTAATGTAGCGGCTAGACTCGTGCTGTCAGCCCGAAGATCTGGTGTTCAAATTCACGCTGGAAATGAATTTGTTGTTGTTGTTGAAATAAGTGACCTTGGCACCCAGGTTGACCCAGTCTAAAGTGGGTTCCACAAAATGTCCTTGAAAGTTTTAAAAAAAAATTGACATGGTGTTGATAACAGATATTACCCATCGAGTGCCAACTGGCCTGCAAAACATACGAGTCTAGTATCTTAAACCCAATGTACCACTGGCATCATGAGAGTCCTTTCATCAGCTTGATGTGTTTAGAATCCTAGGCTGTCATACTGAAGACCTGAGTACGAATCCTTGGTAAAATTATGGAATTTGTTGTCTGGTGGGAGTTGCAAGAAACATCCTAACACGCACAGTTTTTGGCAGTGCACTAGCTGTGCGGCCCCAAATCCTCAGGCTCCTACACCCCCCCCCCCTTTCCACCCCTCCATCTCCTTTCTCCAACACATAAAAAAAATGACACCATAGGTCGTAAAAGACAGTTTTAAAAAAAAAACAGCTTTTGAGTGCAGCTAGTCACAGAAAGAAAAAACAAAGAAAGAAAGAAAGAAAGAAAAGCGAATGAGGAATATGATAAATTCAGCTTGTTGGAATTTACAAAAATTCTTTAATTTGTTTACAGTTATTATCTGAAATAGGCAAACTATTTATTGACAATTTTTTTTTATTTTTCATTTTTTTTAAAAATTATAATAGCAGCCTTTTTACGTCTTGTCTGGTATATTCACGATGTATGTGATAAATTGTCGGCTCTGTGGCTAAGTCGATGCGAACGCTTCATAATGCCGGATTCGATTCCATGCGGGCCATGTGCCTTGCGTTGGTTTCGACAGTGGTATCAAGAAAGCCAACCGTCCAGAAAGCAATGGCAAACTACTGGACGTAAATTTGCTTAGAAAAACCATACAACAGCCACGGGCTGTTGGGGTTGGTTCTGCAATGTCCTGTAAAGGATACGCAACTAACCTTAATGTGATAAATTTACCTTGTTAAAATTCATAGAAACAGCCTTTAAATTGCTTGCATTGTTTATCTGATGAGGCACAATGATAAGTTTGCCTTGCTGGAATTGCATAAAAACAGCCTTCAACTTGATTGAAATTCTTATCTGACATAAGGCTTAGGTTAAGGTTTAAACAATGGATAAACATGGCACAAGGGTAGTAACCCGTAAGTGCTTCATTCTATTTCTAAATCAAGCTTGAGTCAGAAGAATCCCAGCACAGTACATGAACTCTGTAGCACCGGCGAGGATCCTGAAATACTTTGTGTAGATTTTTTAATGAAAATGTTGCCCGGGCAGGGCTGTTATGGCTGCTCTTTTTGGTTTCCAACTGCCAAGGGATTTTTTATGTGCGCAACAGTACACACGGGCGTCTGATCTAGCTACCTATAGACCAGGGAAAAACTAGAAGTACACGACAGAAAATCCCAGCCCTCACCAGGGCTTGAACCCAGGACCTCCAGCACTCGAGGCAGACGCCATGTTTCGAGACCACGCAGACCCCCCTCCTCCCCCATGACATAGACAGGGTATATTACAGGTTCTTAACCGTCAGGTGTTGAAATATTTCTATATTATAGGGTTGAATAGAGTTCCTGGGATTTGTACTTGTTGAATGCAAATAGTGTCTCTTTGAATCACTTGATTTTAGTCTTTCAGTGTGCAGTCCTATAAGGGAAAAATTTGAAAAAAAATGCTCCTTGTTGGAACTCACAGAAGCAACCTCTTACTTGTTTATTTGTCTTATTTGACACAGGCACACTATATATGCTTCAAATGTGGAGATTACCTCCAGAACTCGCCAGAGGCAGGTATCCATCTGTGCGATGCAGGAGCGCAGAACAATGAGCAGCAGCGGCAGCATAACTCACAGCAGCCTGGTAGTCATCATTTCCTGGAGGGAGAGATGCTCAGTCATCAGAATGAGGATCTCCAGGCAAAGCTCAGTAAGAGTTTTTTTCCCTCTTCGTCATCATTATCATCATCATCATCACCATCATCATCATCCTGTAACACTGTGTGTGGTTGTGGCACCATTTACTGTTGACTGTCTGATCAAAGCAATGTTTCCCCGTTGTAAATTTGAACAAAGAAGACACAAACAATAGACTGCACAATTTATTGCCTGGCATATTTCGCTGTATCTCATCAGGTGCATACTTCAGTAACAATTAATTAAAATGAAGCAAATAGCTGAATCCTAGAAACTGAAACACAAATTCGAGTAGATTTCAAACTGTTTCACCAAGGTAAACGTAGGGCAACGACCATTTCCTTTTGCCTACAAAGTTCCGGTTTCAATCTGCCAATCGCTGAAGCTTCCGCGTATCGAAGTAATCTACGGTTAGCCGAACTGTAAATAATTCGGAATGCATCATCCCTGTTAATGATGTGCCCGGAATTTAGAATATGGCACGCAATTGCTGATGATGGATTATTTCGACAAGTTATCTGATTCATTGTTGTTGAGGTGTTAGTGTTCTGCATTGCTTTTACCAACCATAGTGGAATATGTTCAGCAACCCGTTGTTCCAGTCGTCGATCAGTTCTGCCCACATATGCAGCGTTACAGGTGCATTTAAATTGGTATATACAGTTAGATCTGGCGTACGTCGACACTGGTTCTTTTACTGGTGGTGTAGGAATCCTGGTGGTTTTAAATCTCATAACAGGCATGGCTGCGTAAAAGGTTTGACGGACTGCTGTTTTGAGTCGGTCATATATACGTTGCATGACGTCGTCTCCCCGAAACGTTAGATGTATATAGGCTAGTTTTTTTGGCACCGACATTTCTAAGGTAACTGGTTTAGGCGGCTGGCAATGGCACTTAATAAAGCCACCTGGATATCCATTAGAAAGCAGTGTTTGTTTAATCGTATCAAACTCAGCTTGTAGCGTGTCGATGGAACAAATCTTCCTAGCACGGTGGAATAATGTCCTCACTAGACCACGTTTGTATTGCAAAGGTGCAAAAAACTGTTGAAATGGATGTATTGGCCCGTCCAAGTGTCTTTACGAAAAACTGACCTTTCAATAGTACCATCATCTCTACGTCTGATTAAAATGTCTAAAAAGGCCAAAGTGTTACTACTTTCATGTTGTAGGGACACAGTGATGTTTTTGTGCATTTGATTCATTTTGGTGTGAAACGACTCTGCCTGTTGTTTGTTAGTGGCGATGATAAATATGTCATCAACGTAACGTCGGTAAAATACTAAACTATCAATATCCAAAGACATCTGTTCCTCCAAGTGTGCCATAAAGATGTCCGCTAAAATAGGGCCTAGAGGGCTTCCCATGGCCACACCATCAATCTGGCGGTAAGACTGCTTTAGAAAACTGAAATTGATGTTCGAAGTGCACAAACATTAAAAGTTCCTCAAGTTTGAAATAGGTAAACCTACCTGCAGATGTTTATTTTCTATACGGTCACATATAATTTTCACGGTTTCTTCCAAGGGCACGTTTGTAAATAGTGATGTTACATCCATTGATGCCATGTATTTTTGATTTACATTCATTGTGTCCAGTATTTCTGCCAGTTCAAATGAATCTTTGAGTATTTTGGGCTCAAATGATTGTCGTACTGGTTTTAGTAATTCCGCTAGCCATTTAGCTAAACCATGTTGAGCTGAGTTTATCATTGACAGGATGGGCCTAAGGGGCATTCCAGGTTTGTGTACTTTTGGAAGACCATACAACTGCAGTTCAGTTTCTAGGATTCAGCTATTTGCTTCATTTTAATTAATTGTTACTGAAGTATGCACCTGATGAGATACAGCGAAATATGCCAGGCAATAAATTGTGCAGTCTATTGTTTGTGTCTTCTTTGTTCAGACTGTCTGATCAGCTTTCCCTACTTTTGATGGTCAGATGCGATGGACTTCATGGTTACATCATGAAGTCAGGTTTTGTATCCAGGTCTTTCGGTCTCTGTAGGGGGGGGGGGGGGGGCATTACTGACTGTCCCCTGCCCTAAACAAGCATGTTGCAAAATTTGACTAATTGAGGGGTATTAAGTCAGAGGGCATCTGCTTGAGAGGCAAGGAATCAACAGTCTTCATAGAAGTAAACTAGATCTGTAAAACAACCGTGCCCACAAAAATCAAGTTTGGGACAAGAGCAAAATCCAGAGGTGGATGAACAACCAGTGCTTTCTCCCTGGAGATTACAGCCAGTGAATGCGAAGTATGGAGCCACCATGGTGTAGTGGCTAGACACATGCCTGCCGATCTAAAGATTGTGGTTAAAATCTCAACGATGGGGGACTTTTTTTTTTTCAGAAATGACCTTGTCTGCTAAGTCGATCCAGCCGTAAATTGGTACCAGGTAAAAGTCCTGGGAAGTAAAGGCAGCTGGCGTGATGCTGACCACATCACCTACTGAGTGCCAGTTGGTCTATAAAATATAGGTATAGCCCTGTATGCGCAGTACACCTGAAGGTGTGGAACGGATCCTTTACTTAAGTTTACTTTAAACCTAAAGAGGGAGAAGGTGTGAGCATTTTGGTGCAACACACCCAATTTCTGCAAAGCCTAACATAGTTGCACTTTATGTCATGTTTGCTAACGGCCACTATCCCACTGTCCTCCACCTCCCCCCTCCCCCAGTATTGTGTAAAATAACTACATTTTGTTTGTTCTTTATTGTATATGCCCACTCACTTCCATAATGGAGAAACACATCCTTTTGCAGAACTGTTTTTGGAGGAATCAAAAGTGGCTGTCAGCTCAGATGTGAAGCTGTCTCAGGAGGACATCCACAGAGTCTGCATTGAGAGGGCTGAGAAGTTCTTACATCTGTACACTCAGGTAGGCTAGTATGTGTGTTCATTCACATTTGTGAGAGAGAGCAGATGAGAGAGATAAAACACCTATTTGTATTTGCACATACATATTATGTGTGTGCGTGTGTCAGCGAGAGAGAGAGAGAGACTGAAAAAAGAAGTTAGTGATACAAAAAGGAGGAGAATATTCCCGCCACCAGTTTCTGGGTACACAAAAAGGGAAAGGGGGGGGGGGGGGGTCATGTGAATCACTATAAAATATAGGATTAAGTTTTTTTTTTTTTTTTTTTTTTTTTTTTCAAGAAAGACTCCTGCCGAACCCCTTATTTTTGTGTGTGTTGTTCCCTCCCCTCTTCCATTAAACTTCTTAGTTACAGTTCAGTGAATTAATTTCTTGGTATTAGCCTGACTGCAGTCATCCCTGTTTTCTATAGAACTACATCTCTTTTACTTCATGATGTCACAGTACCGGGTTCAATCCCATCTGCAGACAGTTTGTCTGTCATTGGTTTTAGCAGAGGTACCGAGCGCTGACCATTCAGCAAGCAGTAGCAAACCACTGAACATAAAATGTGCATAGAAAAACCACAACAGCCAAACAGCGATTGGGTTTGCAGCTTACCATAGCTTAAATTTTGTTTGTTCCAGCTTCAAAACGATCATGTCTTAATACAGCAGCAGCGAGCATCTCTGGACGCACAGAAAAAAGAGCTAGAGCAGCGGGATGAGGAGTTAGCCTTGCTGCAGACAAAGGTAGAAGGTGATCGAAGCAAGTTCTTGAAAGACTGTAAGAAAGAGCGTGAGGAGATTGCCCGCAAGTGGCAGGAGCTGAAAGATGAGATTGCACGAATGGAGGAAATTCATCTAATGCAGAAGGTAATTTGATGCTGTGTTATAGCTCTGTTGGTAGTTGTACTCCTAACTGTACTGATAGTTGTACTAATAGCTGTACTGGTAGTTGTTCTGGTAACTTACCTAATAGTTGAGTTGACAGCTTTACTGATAGCTGGAATGATAGTAGTACTAATAGTTGTACTGATAGCTGTACTTATAGTTGAACAGATAGTTTTACTTATAGTTGTACTGACAGCTGGGTTGGTAGTTGTACTGATAGCTGCACTGATAGTTGTTCTCATAGGTCTTTTGAGAGTTCCATAGATATCTGTATTGATCTATAGATTGCTCAATTGATAGTTCTATAGATAGTTTTATTAACAGTTCCATAGTTAGCTCAGTGGATGGATAGGTCTACAGATAGTCAGTTGATTGTTCTGTAGATAGTTGTATTGATATTTGCATCGATAACTGAATTCATAGTTGCATTGATAACTATACTGATAGCTACCAGTATTGACAATTCTGTTTGAATATATATATATATATATATATATATATATATATATAATATATACACACACACATATACATATACATATAGCTGTATCGGTAGCCTGATGATAAAGTTGTTATGATAATCATGTCTGATTCCCAGTCTCTGTTGCATGTCAGGATACCAGTACTTTTGTAGCAAGAGATTACATAGATCTTTTGTTTTAGGCATGCAGGAGGGTGAGGAAGTGGAAAAAGCAGACTCTTTTGGCTGTGAAAGTGCCTAATGTAAAAATATTCATATTGCTAACTGAAGTTAACAATGTAAAATGTAGTAACAAATGTAAGTATGCGTGAATGTGAAGTTAAATGTGGCACCACTTTCCTCTCTCTCTTCAGACACATTTGGATTGAAGAAATGAGGCCATGCAGGAGAAATCCCAAGATAAATGTTAATAAGAGAAGCCAAAGATGTTGGATTGGATTCCATCCATGTTGTCAAAAATCTTGTGCGAGATAGAACCGATTGGGTTAAACGACTGTGAACCCCTGTGATCTATAAATGGCACAACATAATAATAATGATCGTTATCATTATCGTCCTTTATATGGCAATGAGCCATGTCACATGATCACCAGAATTACAGATCATATCAGTGTGCTCATCTCACCCCCATCTCTTATCCCTTTGACTTCCCCTTGCTCTTTTCCATCAATCTTGCCAATCGTCACCAAGTTTTTGAGTCCATTTCTTCTCATAACATGATTGAGAAACACTGACTGTCTGCTTCTAAATTCTCTAATCAGTTTACAGTTTTCATCTGTTTCTAGAAGGGGGTCTCTATTGCAAAGTAATCAAGTCATTGGCTTCCTGTTCTGAAGGCTGGGGAGTCATTTCATGACGCCCCTGTTCAGTTCATGAGTGCAGTTTTTACAGAGATCCCTAGGGATCATCGCCAGAGTTACTGAGGTTGTGCTCTGTGCAATGCTGTCGGCAGGCGGCTAGCTGTTCTTCGGAGAGAGACTAAGTCGTATGGGATAAAAACCGGTGCAATGAAGTCCATCCTCTCACCTTTACCTATCTGTCTCTAGAAGAGCTGCCTCATTTGTTTATCTTTTGTTTGTAACATTTTTATGTTTTATTTTCTCAAAAACCACATCTCCACTATGAGTAAATGTTTCAGCTTGTCTAGTTATTGTCTATGTCTTTATGCATATGTCAACACAGGTTCTATTTAACAGCACTTCAGCATTCTTTTTCTCACCGCATTTGCCATCTTGGTGTATCTTTTTCATCTCGTTTAAAGGGACCTATTGACATGGTGATTCTTGTTTTTCTACAAGGCAAATGATACAATGTACAGATGTGATGACCGTTCCAAGATAGTTGTATGATGATGAAATGAAACACCTAAAATAAAGGCTAAATGTATCAGATTTTTTCATGAAGTATCTACTCTCTTGTGGCCAGGAAAGGTGTCAGCACACAAGATAATGAATTCTGTTGAGTGTGCAAAATGTTGCTAATTATCTGAAACCTATGTTTGCAAGGTCAAATAAGACTTCATGTTGTATAGGAAAATTATCACAAGGCATTTGATGACAGTTTTATCATCTAAATCTTGTCTTTGCCAGGGTCGAATAAGACTTGATGTTGGAGGCAATGTGTTCACCACCTCACGTTTGACTTTGACGCGAGATGCAGACTCCATGCTGGCAGCCATGTTTGGTGGTAGACACCATGTGGCTCAGGAGGTGGATGGGACTGTGTTCATCGACAGGGACGGCACACATTTCAGGTGAGAATCGCAGTACGGTATTGCAAAATATATTACAACATTAGGTTGGCCATCTTTACGTTTCAGGACATTGCCTGGTACCCATTTAAGGTTCGTTTGAGCTGGAAGCCAATATCAGTTTCGAAAACATCCAACTCGATGCTGATTTGAACTAAGGTCTGACGGGGAAGTGCCTAGCTACTATGCTACTACGGCTCCCAGTTGAGAAATAGGAATGCCATTGTTCAAACCAATGCTGGACGGTCTGCTGCTAAACCCCCACAGCTGGGTTAGGATCCAACCCGGCTCCTCAGGATTACAAAGTGCGTTTGGGGTGCCTAAGCCACAGATGCCACCATTGACACAGTACTGACACCGAATTTAATTCCTTAAGTGGGTATGATGGATATTTCTATCTTGCTCATCTGTTGTTTATTAAAATAGATTTATCCTACTGAGATGGCAGTTAAGCAAGACTAATATATCCTCGCACCCTTCTTCTTCAGCTGCTTTTGTCCTGAAATGTGCAGTTGTAATACAGTATAGCCCCACTGCTTCAATGAAAAAGCATGTTGTAAGAGTCAACTAATAAGGGGTTTTCTTCAAAGTTGGCGTACATCTTCCTGAGAGGCAAGGAACCAACAGTCTGCTTACAAATAAGCCAGATAAGTAAAACGTGTGTAAACGCAAATGTGGAACATGACTAACATCCAGAAGTCGACAAAAAAACCAGGACCTTTCCATTGGAGTTTACAGCTGGTGAACATTAACAAGCGAACTAAATACAAAACAGTAATACCACCCCCCCCCCCCCCCCCCCCCCCATTAAGCTTTGTAGTTGCAGTGTGTGTTGTATTATGTACATTTTAATATCGGCCGTCATCCTAAAAACATGTTCCCCACCGGGAGCCTGGCCATTGTAGATATGATCTATGTTTTCTTTGAAGACCATGTGCATGTGTGAGAGTCAAAGAACAAGTCTGCTCATAGATTAACCAGATCTGTAAAACTGGTGTACATGCAAAGCTCAAGTTTTGGAATAAGACTAAAGTCCAGAAGTTGATAATCAACCAGGGCTTTCCACCGGAGTTTACAGCTGGTGAACACAAAGAAGAAGAACAACAAGAAGCAGAAACACTTTACAGTGATGATGTTCCTTTGGTGTCCAATTTGTATTTTCATCTTCATCCTTACAGATACATCCTAAATTACCTACGTGATGGGGGCGTCAATCAAGATGGACTTCCTCGAGATCGTCAGGTGCTGAAAGAACTCAAGAATGAAGCCGTCTATTATCAGCTGAATGGCCTGGTCCAAACCATTGAGAAATATTTGTAAAAGGAAGAATGGAATAAGAATTAAGTTTATCTAATTCATCAGCATCATGTGTCAGGAAAGGGTCAGGGATATGTTTGTGGCGTGAACTAAGCCATATGAAGCAGTCATTCGACAAATATCCTACAATTGCTGACGATACTCACTCACTGTCAGCTCACTTTTATCTGCCCGCAGCCACAGGAATACAAGCTGGCAGCTGCTTAAGATTGTTTGTGCTACTTTCAAAGATTGTTTGCTGTGTTTGTAATGGTCAGTGTCACACTGGAGCATTATCCCAGTTGTTTACAGGTGTTTCAGTGTTAATTAGGCGTCCATTTTCTTTGTTACTTAAAGTGTATTTGGAACTTTCTTCTTTTGTAGCTTGTCATGAAGCACATGTAGCATTTTCTAAATTGTGTATGTGAAACCTTATTAAATAATTTAAATGTTTTGAAAGAGGCCTATACCTGAAGACTTTACAAGCTTCAGAAAGAGTCAGTTATCCATCATCAGCCACTGTGTGAGAAGAGGTTGTCTAGAACATGTTGTGATAACTGGAAAGATTTTTTGAAGGAGACAGCTAGAGTAAGACAACAAGAGAAGATTCTTGACATCCTATAGTCATGGTGTGGACAGTTTTGAGCAAACAAATTAATAAATTCTGTTTGAGATCACAAGTTGGGGAAAGGCATGATTGCCCATGCCACTCGGCAAGGCATTTTATAATTATGGTGACCTGTAAAGCCAGAATCAGTAACCAGAAAGTTTTGAAAGAGGCTAACACTCAAAGACAACTGAATCACAGAATTCAGAAAGAGGCAGTTGTCATTCTGTTTGGCCACTTTATACATAGAACATCTGTGATTTAGCATGTCTGTGGCTTAGGCATTGAAAGCACGCTTTAAAATTTCGAGGTGCTGAGTTAGGTCCCTAACTTATTTTTTTCAAATGTGTATTGGGTAATTTTGTCTGCAACCGATGGAAATTGGTGACCCCATATCACTTATTTTTAAATAATTCAGCATCACTGCCCTCAGAACATTTCCATAAGTGCTGTATCCCCATCTTATGCAGCCACCAAAGAGTTCCAATTCAAGAGATACCATTGGCAGTTGTGCCATGACCCCACATCTGCAGTCGTTGGTCTAGAGTGTGAAAGATTAGTTCACACACACATACACACCCACATGAACACACTCGCCCACACACAGTCACTGAAATAGTCACTTACACACATCCATACACACCCACACAGAGAATTACCCACACAAATCCATAACCATACACATATACATAGCCATCTCAACATACACGTCGCTACCCACGTAGGACTGCAGGTAGCAGCCGGCTGGTGTAGCTGCTACAGGTGCCGTAATTATATCTTCTTTGGGGTTAAATGGAGTATCTGGGATCTACCTTGTTGGCTGGCATCTATATTTAGATTTGTTAATCTCAAGATGATATGTTAAACCTTTAGCAGCAGTGCAGAGGGGACAAACTGATCGATCAATCAATATATATGTATATACACACACACAATCTTATACATACTAAGAGTATATGCCAGGTAGCATAACATATATCATATATTCTGTATCACATTTAATTCTTTCTGTCCATACCAAATAAACCATGTGTTCTCAGCTCTGCTTTATGTGTAACAAACAATGTGAAGTGTTATTGTACCTCTTAATTTGGTCAGCATGCTAAAGAAATCTGGCTAGGCATTTAGTCTGCAGCACTGTGTACTTGCCTTTTTTTTTTTCAAGTAATTTACTTTTTTCTGTTGTGATCATTGCTGGAAAATATTGTGGAGACTGAAAACGTTTAGTGGTTTGTTTCACTTGGCATTATAATTGTGATATGTATAGTTTTTCCAGGTTCATATATTTTGGCTTTCACTGCTGGGGAAGTATGCTGGGGTAGTATACTCTTAGCATAGATTTCCACGCATTTGATTTGTTTGCAGATGTTACTTCATTAGAGAGCATTTAACTTTTGGGATGGCTTTTCTTTCTTAACTCTTTTGGTACTAAGCAAAATGCCTTGCGTCTATTAGTTACTTTGTACATCACTTAATAAGCCTCTTATTGAATTACCCTTCTGCCCTGCAAATGGTTAAGAGAGGCCATGAACTTGTGGGAATCCTGGAACATATCTTCAAAAAAAAAATTGGTTTTACACAGATCACTAATCCCCCGTGTGGGTTCCAGGGCCCCATTGTGGGGAAAACAAGAATAGATCCACTGCCTCCCCAAAAGCATGTCGACTAATTGGGGAGCTTCCTTTGAAGTCGGAGTACATCTGCCGGAGAGGCAAGGAACCGACAGTCTGTATTCAAGAGAATGAGATCTGTAAAACTGATGCACACGCAACACTCAGGTTCTGGAGCAGGACTGCAGTTCAGTAGTCGACGAGCAACCAGAACTTTCTGCCAGAGTGTACAGCTGGTGAACGCGAAGAAGAAGAAGAAGATGACTAAAAAATTTTTTTAATTATAGCTAGATATTGTGAGGGCCCTTTGGAAACGAGGCAACAGTGCGGAGGCGCAGATAGATCATTACAATCTGAGGAGAATGGCTGACGCGAAACACTCCGGGGAAGGATGAGACGGATATACAATCTGACAGTTACTGGTGCCATTGGGAGTGTCCCGAGAGTTGTGATGCTGATTCTTAATTCAACATTCAACATTTGTTTAAAGTTTATTCATTCACATTTTGACTTTAAAAAAAAAAAATATAGCAAATCGCTCATCAGTAAAAATGAACACATGAAACATCAGATAGAATAATTCCCCAGGACCATAAAAACAATATGTTTTGGGTGACTCATGCTGTGACACCATGACCTTAATCAACAAGGCTTGTGGTAAATTTGACATAAATATAAGGAAACTTCCTTAAATGCTATTTGTAGTTGCTCTATTCATATCCTGGCATGTTAAAAGCAGGCACACATAGAATTATTGAAATTTAACTATACTGTTAGAAATGATATTATCAGACAAACTGTGGGGTCAACACCATGCAGCAGATTTATTGAGAAACAAAATCAAATGGTTTGTTCATTTGTAAGAATGCAACCAGAACAACTACCAACGCAGGCACCACACATGAAAAGATCTGAAGTGAAAGCAAGAGGTCAGCCTAGGAGAACATGGATTGATGACATTAAAGAGCTTCTATATCGACACAAATAAGAATCGCCATTGCTGCCTATCAAGCAATGGATCGCAAGCTCTTCCTTCCCACAAGGCTTAACGGTAGAAGTGGAAATTGATGATGATGATGATGATGAACCATACTGTTCAAGAACAGGTTATTTTAGACAGGCCAGTATATTGGCATTTACAGGACTGTGTCACATGTGGAAGGGACTAGATTTAGTCTTCTCAGGGTAACAGGGTTAATCATTCTTTCAAAGCCAATAGTTTCTGTCCACTGCACCTACTGTTATAATCCACAAATTCCATTTCATGATTCTCTTCCTCACACAGATAGCCAATTCTTCAATGTGACAATTGTCTAGTGCGGAAAGTGTTAAATGTGTTTGTTTAACTTTACTTTAGCAAAGGGAAGTGAATGTCTAGTGAAAACACATCCAAGTTTTTTAAATGGAGGCAAGTAATTTTCAGGGGTGAAAAATTTGGGGTGGTCTTGTTTATAATTTCTCATAACTCATAACTTATTCTTCTTTTTGTCCCAGGGCATGCATGTGTTATTGGCAATGAAAGAGCTGACAGATTGGCTAGCTCTGCCTTAGGTACAGAGGACTTATCAATGGATCAAGCAGACATTGTTAATGCCATTAGAGAGGTTGGACGATCGGAGGATTTTGGGAACAGCACATTCACATCTTTGCTAAGAGCGCAAGAACTGGGTGTAAAGATTGGCACAACCAGGCATGAGAAGCACACCGGACGCATGAAACGTCTTGTCAACCAACATAGGACTGGGACTATCAACCCGGAACACTGATGTATATGTTGAAGGGGGGAATCTGAGCACCTGTTGACATATCTGGCATGCCGCAAAGATAACCCAAATCATAACTCATAACTCTTCTTCCCGTTCACCGGCTGGAAGCTCCGGCAGACATTTCTAGTTGTCGACCACTTCTGGATTTAGTCTTGTTCCAGAACTTGAGTTTTGTGTACACATCCATTTTACACATCTGACTTTTTAATGTGCAGGCTGTTAGTTCCTTTTCTATCATGCAGATGCACTTCAACTTTGAAGGAAACTCCTGATGTGTCAAGTTTTATGACATGCTTATTATGGAGGCAGTAGGTCATCAAAACTCACAAGGTCAACTCAACCTAAAGTGGGTACCAAGAATGAAAGTACAGAGATATGGGGGACCCAGCATACCCATCCAGTGCCGACGAGTCTGTAAAAATATGAGTCGAGCTTCAAATGCCTGTTCTCTTGTGGTGGTAGCTTTATCTGTGTTGGTTTATGTACCTCAACTTTATTAAGGTATATTTTGTAAATGTTACTTCATTTAAGTATATAGATTTTCTGAATGGAATACGCTTAAGTAACTTGTACAAGTCATTCCTTGTTGCTAAATGACCTGGAGGTTGTATGTTCTCACAAATATTTTTAGATTTCCATTTGGCTGTGATATGTTTGTTTTGTTATGTAGCCCAATTTTAGAGTCATTTGTATTTTTTTTTTTAAGTGTGCTTCTAATGTGTTTTGTGTGTTTGTGTGTTGAAAGAGAGGTGGGTCGGGAGGGGGGGTCCAAATATTGCTTGTATATTCTGTTTATGAGTAAACAGATACATTTTTATTATACTCTGTTGCATCTCATAGTTTTTATGTATTTGTTCTACCACCCACCAAATGATATATTTGTGTCTTATCTCTTGTTCTCATTTTTTTTAGAAGCATTTGATAATTTTTTTTTCCATCAGATGGCTTGTAAATTATTTTGCTTGCTTGAAAACAAGGGTAGTGTTTGTGTGTGTTATGCTTTATCGTATCTTGTAGGTTTACCTGATGGTTACATCCCTTGCAACTGATATTGTTTTCTGTGTCTCTTGTTCAGATCTGGTTTTAGAGGAATTTTTTTTTGTATTTAATTTTTTTTTTTCCAATCACAAAGATTGCTTAAATATTATTTCATAAATTTTGCTTGGTTGTGGACCCAGAGTACATTTTTAATCATTTGTTGTTTCTTTCTTTCTTTTTTTAATATTATCTGACTGTTTAATTCCTCTTTAATAGATACTGTTTGCCATATATCTTGCTCGTGTCCTTTTAGATTTGTTTTTGGGGTCACTTATATTGCTTGTAAATGATTTAATCATTTGTCTTGCTTGTAAAGGGTAAATTTGGTTATATTTAGTTATCATTTTCAGTTGTGCTATCTTCTCTACTTAGGACCAAGTTTCATTCAGGCTAACAGGCCCTAAGTT